TTTTGTAACATTGTTGGTGGGTTTGCAAAGGGGGTCCCCGGCCAGAAGCTAATGATTTTTGGGGGGCCTTGGCATGGAAAAGTTTGGGAACCCCTGCTCTAGTCTACACACTCCTTTCCGACGAGACATATACCACGTGAAGACACGTTACGCTCGTGTTGTGTTCAAGGAACCTGCCCCTGGCCAGGAAAAACAGGCACTCGCTTATTTAATTATTTTGCGGTCTAGATTTCTTCTTCTTTTTTGAAGTGAAAAGTTGTCCGTTAGTCGGACTGACGGACGGACGGACGGACGGACCCCCCCCCCCAAAACGAAAACTCTTCGGTTCTCCGCGAATTACACAAGTCACCCAAATCAGCGTTAAAAAAGATTTGCTCCGGTGTCTGTGCATTGTTAGCATTTGATAGATATCAATGCAGGCACAACTGGGGTATGGCAGACAGTTTGAAGGCAAATCAAAACTTTTAACCAAATCCCCATCCAAAAGAGAATAAAATAAGTCACTGGATGGGTATTTAATTCATCTGTCCAGCCTTTCCTCCCTAAGGAACTGAGCTGTACACAGACACTTCCGTGTGCTGCAGCTACATCATGTGTCAGTCTGTGTCAGCCCTCACCTATGGCACAGGTCCTATTGGCTGTGTGCTGCTTGAGGAGCGTGACGATCTGGGCCTTCTGGGTGGGGGAGCAGCGACAGCAGACCACCGCAGGACACTGACACGCCAGCTCTACAAACTCATGCTCGTAATAGCGCAAACACACCTGCAACACAACACAGATACACTTTGGTTGTCTTTGTTGTAATTGCATTATCGTTTTTTAAATCTGTACACAGGAAATCTGAGCTAAGATACAATACATAGATTACTGAACAATTAAAGTTCTACAGATATTCACGTGATCTCTTGGAATACTTTATCAGTCGGACTTGAATGCCACACAAGTGAAAACACTGATTACAGTACTGTAAAGCCTTTTTGGAAAGTAGGTGGCCATTACATCTCCTAGACAATCTTAATTATCTTTTACCTTTTGTACCATAGAAAAATCCCTTTAAGGCCCAATAAAAGCGATACACATCCAGAGTTGGAAGAAGTACTAACATAAAAGTCAAATATACTTAATATACTTTAGGTTCAAAAAGTTAAAGTATGTATCTTGATGAATGGCCCATTGCAGAATGATATCTATTGCATTATGGTGTTCATCACTTCAATGTTGCACTGAGTAAAGTTGGTGTTTATTTCAATTACTTTACATGTTGCTCTGTAGCTTGAACTGTAATAATACATCATGATTTGTTGTTTTCTTTTATTATAAACTCTTATCTGCAAAGAAGCTAGTAACTAAAGCTGTAAAATAAATGTAGTGGGGTAATAAAAGCTTCCATTGTAGTGTATAAGTATAAAGTGGCATCAGGTAGAAATACTGTACTGATGTAAAACAAGTCCAGGATCATAACAATGTCTTATTTTTTTGTTCGGCACATGATATTGACCATTAGCTGTACCTGTGACTTTTTTTAATTTATGTATTTTTCTAAGTTAAACAAAAACAAGTAAAAAAAACAGAACTTTTCTAATCTTTTAGCCTCATAAAAAAGGACTGATATGATTGATTTCCTCTCCAAATCTTCAGAGCTCTGGTTAAAGTGTTAAGTATTGGTTTTGGCTGCATCCTCAGCATCATCTGCTCCCTTAGTAAACATTACTGTGTGCTGCGCTGTGCTGTAGTACCTCTAAGGAGTCTCCAGAGATGACCAGAGCACAGTCATGCTTCCTCCTGAAGGCGTTGAGCTCCAGATGGGCCTCTCCTCTGCTGGAGATCTGCTCGAGAGCCACACAATACAATTAGCCGTGAGGACATTAGGCTTTTAGTCATTTCTCGATACATAAGCGCTTTGTGATAACATCAAAGGGAAACAGTGTACCGGCTTGAACACATGGATGTCTTGGGTTCTGGACACCAGGTGGGAGCTTTTGGCGATGCACGTAGCCGTCTCAAGTTTATCCCCCGTTAGCATCCAGATCTGTAATTCAAGAAAGAGACACAACTGGTTGCTCTGTGTACTCAACCTGAGATGATGCATGTGTTGCATGCTCTTAGCAAACAGGGACAATCTGAATCAACAGGATGGAGATCAGGGCAAAAGATAATAACCATGAGAAAGGAAATGTTAAAAACAATTTTGGTATATTACAACAGCAAAATGTTCCGACTACTCTATGTCAGGGCTAATACAAAAAAAAAGGAAATATTTTTGGCTTTTCAATGATCAAGTTCTATTATTTATTGATTTGTTTTAACAGTTTTGGATAATAAATAATAGTATATTAATATTTTAAATGATTTGAGTAAGTGAAGTAAGTAAATATATATATCATTTTTTTTTTTAAATAAAGGCTTTTTAACATTTCCTTTCCCACGGTAACTTGGATTTGAAGAGCCTGGATTGTCTCTCTGTTTAGACTGAAATTCACCTTAAAGTGTGAGCTGTCTTTAATAACCTCAGATATTTTGGACGTGTACAAATTAAGATTATCATCATAACCTCCTTTTTGTGTATCTGGTTTAAACGCTGAATGACTCTTGAGGTATTAGGGGATATATTTGAGTCTCAGAGTTGACCAGAATAACCCTGGTGGCAGTAGTCATAGTAGGTATGTTGCAAAATACCAGTATTGACAGTACGGAAGTATTAATATCATGATAAAATAAAAGTAATTTCACAACAGAAAGAGTTGAAGATTAATTTCACTGATACAGTTGCATTGTTAATTGTTCAAAAATGTTCTATAGATATTGTCACAATATTTTTGCTAAGAATGATTTTGGCACTTTAACCATGTATTGAAAGTCTGACACAGTGACAGCCTTACCTTGATGCCAGCATTCCTGAGCAGCTCCAGCGTGGGCCTGACGTCGGCCTGCAGCTGGTCCTCTACTCCGGTCAGACACAGCAGCTCCATCTCCCGCTCCAAGCTCTCCACAACTGCTGCCACCTTCAGGCCGCGGTCATGGAGGCTCAGCTTCGCCTGGCTGTAGCGGTTCTATACATTGAGGGGGTAAAGAAAACAAAAAATTAGGAATTGTGAGGTAAAAGTGAAAAAGGCAACTGATAAATACTCATGTCAACATAACTAAAAAGAGTGAATCCTGAGTTTTTCAATCCTTAAGTGACTCAAAAAAGCTGCTGTCATGATATAGAAACAACCTAGATCCAAGAGGAAACAGGCTCTCATCGCTATTTTGTTGAAAAGACTTACCTCTAGTTCCAATTAAAGAAAACATGAGACTCATTAAAGTAAAGGATGTGCTGTATGAAGAGCAGTATAAGGCCCTGTCCACACAGACACAAAACGGGTTGTGTCTGCTACAGTTCTCTATCGTGTGGACGGTTCGTCCACGTGAGGCCGTAACGGAACCGGGGAAACGGAGCCCTCAAACGGTAACGGGTCCCAAGGTGGGTAGGTCTGCAGACGGAACGCTCTGGGGGGCCTAACGGCTCCGTGTGTACGCCCGCCCTATACGCCATAGCCCCGCCTCTCCCCACCTCTCCCGCTCACCCCCCCGCGTCATCGCTGATGTGTTTCGCCAACAACAACAACAACAGTGTTCCGAGTCTTTCGAGCCAGGTCCCGGTATCTCGCAGGACAGTGCACCCAGCAGGAGCCTCCAGCAGACCCCCCCGCACGGTTCCGTCGTCCCTTGGAGGCGGAGAGGTGGGTGTATTTCATCCGCTGGTGGACTGCCGGGAAGTACGTCCTGCTTGGGAGCCAGGCTCAGAGTTAGTGGCACCTGCCTTTTACAGCAGGAGCACACGCTCGCCTTGGGGAGGGAGAAAAAGAAACAGAGGCCGCCAAAACAGCCAGAGCCCTGCCTCTCCCCACCTCTGCTGCTCACCCCCGCGTCACCGCTGAATCCACCGCAGAGAATAAACAGAAGGGCAACCAGGCCACCATGGCAACCATGCTCGGGAGATCTTATTCGCTACTTTTGGTGTATTTTGTGGCGGAAGTACAGCGCCACTTACAGGCCCGGCTCCAGTGGGTCGAGCGGTCTCGTGTAGACGGACACGTTTCATGAGGCGATACCGTGTGGACGGAAGACTTTTTTGATATCGAATTTGGTTCTTTCTCCGTTTCGTCTCCGTGTAGATGCAGCCTAACACAGCATGCAGTGTATTGATGATCCATACCTCAAAGTCCTGGTACTGCTCCTCAGACAGAGACTTCTTGGCCACCACCAGAGTCCTCAGGCCCTCCCTGGCCATGTTCCCACACTGACAGAGAGGAGAGGGACAGGGTGTTAGGAGATATACACATAGTTCTGACTTTAAAAGAAAGACTTTCAATTTCAATTCTTTAAGGTTTTGGTTTTTTAACTCTTGTGCCGCTCGAGACACACTTTAGATTTTTAGGTTGTGTTAATGATATAGGCTGTGTTATTGCATGGCATACATTTGGGTTTTTGTTTTTTTATTATGAAAGATCATTCTTAGCTATTGCTATAAGTATATAATAAACTGTTAGCTAAAATAGAAACACTCAGACCCATAAGGACTAAAATGTCCCCATTGAAACCAATCAAACCCACAAAAATGTTAATCTTACTGCCATAACAGCTTAGAATCTACATTTTAACGCTTTAATTCTACAGCTATGGATCAAAATGAATGTTGGGGATTGTCATTGTGAGTCAGTCCACAACAATATCCCCACCCTTTGGCGAACATTCCTTGCCCTAGGAGACTGAATCTCTGATTGGAGGGTCAAGTTTGTGTGATGTTATTAAGTTGTGTGTGTAAATGTATTAATGTGTGGATTAATACTTGCAGAGCATTTAAGCGATTGCAAGTTTGTGCTTATTTTTCCTGAAAAAACCACTGTGCTATTACATAAACAAGCCGGCATTGAAAGGGTTAAAGTTTAAAATTAATAAATATTTCGTCGTTATGATCGGGATTGATGTTGGTGACAATATTTAACTTTGAAAGTGGAAAAAAAAGACTAATATATCTTGTTATATTGCTATTTATTGGCACTTTTTTACTTTTTCAAAGCGAGGCACAGGGGTCAAAATAATTATCCCTCGCGGAGATGAATATAAATCAAACATGGGCAGATCATTTGTTCTATCAGAGCGGCTGCTATAAGTACACCATGTACAGTAATGTCGATAGCAGCATATTGTTACAACAGCAGAGAAATCAATAGTGAATAACATAGCCTCTGGTGTAATTCAGAGGACACAGTAAAACAAAGGGATGGACGGCGGTTTATATTTGATATGAAACACCAATGGGGCGAATCTGGTCTGTTGATTGGTTATTGACAAGAGAATAAGCGTAGCGCCGGCTGATCTGACAGCGGGATATTACATCCAACAGGACATCGTTAGAACAATTGATCAGGAATATGACATACTGTAATTACTTCAACTTTATGTAGGTCACTAATTAAATCAAACGGCGCCCGCAGTGCTAAATGACTCAATAATGCCAATATAATTATGAACATATGCACACAAGACCTTCGATCACCAAGCTGGTGTAGACACGGCCCGATGTCTCTCTCAATGAATGTCCTGATTACAGCATTGGACAAAAATACAACTATGTGATGATGTGTATGTTTATCTATTGCTTGTTATTATCTATTTCATAACAGTTTTCATCAAGGAGTGCTTATTTCAAGCAATGATATTGATGCTTTTACGAAAAGACAAAAGATTACGCACAGTGGCTGGGTCCAACCAGACAAATAAACATAGAATAAAAATGTTTTGCCCAAAATTAAACAGTTTTTATAGACGTTTTGGTGCAGATGTTTTATTTTTAGGTCTGTCCATTTTAATATGGATGTTTCCAATGAATTGCATGGCAGTGAAAAGGCTAAAAAGCGGAGGAATTGACATAAGCTACATGTACTGCACTGACTGGAGACCAATGGTCATCAGTAGAAACCATCACTAATTTACTGCAATGGCTAAATTAATCCATAACGAAGGAGTTGCACTTGTTCGCTTTAGGTGTGTTGAAAATGGTGGAAGACATTTTGCTGAACCATGAACCAGTTTCGCAGAAGCAGCACAGGAGTGTGGACAGATTCACCACTGTAGGAACAGATAGTGCTCGCAGTATGATAGCAGCATAGATATAGAGTGGCGAAGTCCCTCCCCTTCCGGGGGACCTCCATGGGACCTTATTTCAGAAAAAGTATGTATTGAAGTCAATGGAGAGAGAAAGATTATCTTTTGATCCCGTTTGAATTGTGCAACGAATTACACATATGATGTTTGTCAATCCTCTCTGAACAGGGTATATGCAGGAATCCTGAAGTTAAATGTAATACCTTTTAAGACCTTTTTTAAGACCCTTTCCATACATTTTAAGACCTCATCGCAACTTTGACTTCTAACCAGTAAGATAGCAAAACTAAACAGAGTGCAGACAGACTACTGAAGCCTCCTTTCCACATGAACTTCAACCTCTCTGTGAAGGTCAGGTTTAATGCAGTATGCTGCTTTTTTGCTTCTGTAGACTCTGTGCTCTTTCATTCCAGTAAAACTCCTTAGAAACGAGTATTTGACCAATAAACAAAACAATTGACAAAACTTTGAACTATGAAATATGTTAAACTTTGGTGAGCTTCAGCGGGGTAATGCCATATAGGAGCTCCCTCACAAATACCCAGGGGTTAAATTGGGCTGGGGCTGTCCGGGGCTAAGCCCTGGCACATAGGACGATGCTCTGACGTCATCACCCTCACACATTTGTCCTATGTTTACAAAAAAGGATATATATGTTAAGACTTTTCGCGTTCTTAATATAGACTATATTTAGGGTCTATATGTGTTGACTTTACTTTAAAATAGCAGATCTCTGTGACCGGATATAGTTTGGCTTAGACCCCGGCCCCACAAGGACGCATACGGTAAAACGCATACGGAAAACGCATACGAGGCTTCCGTTCACACGCATTCGATTCATTAACGTGTCTGTCCACACTAGACCGCTGGAAATGCTGGAAACGATGTAGTACATATGTCAGGACTGTAAGTGGCACTGTT